CAGAGTTGCCAGCTGTCGCAATTGCGAAAAACACCTGGTGGAAAAAACAGAAGAGTCGCCACCAAATGTTATTTATCCCGACTATGGAAAGGAAACGATAGAAAAAAAAACCTCAAAGAAGGGAGAATACATAGTCTCGCAACTAAATCCTGGGTTCGAGAGCCGATTACGCGAGAGAAAGGTATTAGCACCCCTTCGCGTCCGTTGTACTCAACGAGATCCATGCTTGTTGTCTAATCAAAGGATGTGTTATCTAAATCCTACTGCTAAAAGGAAAGGAGAATGAAAAAAGGAAAAGGAGACTCAATAGGACTTCGTCTTTCTAGGCCTACATATTCCCTCGTGCAATGGGAAAGTCAGAGTCAACGTAGTTCGGATAACTATGTATCCTCAGCTAGTATGAGAAATCAAAGCAGCCATAGTTCGGCCTACGAATCGTTACATGTTTTTTTATGAGCGGTGTTAAGTTCGCGTTCTAGCAGTTAGGGTCGATGTGTGTTTGTGGTAGAAAGGAAAAATAATGTACTCTTTCTGAAAATGGTTTGACATACGATCCTGAAGGATGATAATGATTTGAATTTGTTTGTGAGTTTTAAAGAAGTGAGTTGATTTTATTTAAAATATGCATCTCACTAAAGTTTATGACATAGGATCGAATACTTCACGCTTATCCAAGCGTCTCGCGCACAAAGTACTCTAAGATAAGGTTAGAAATTCATCTGTTCATCTTTTCTCATGTACTTAAGGCTCGTGGCATACAATGCATATTATATTTACTACGTGTTTTGCTTTTGTTTTGAGAATGAAGAGAGAGAGAGAGAGAGAGATAGAGAGAGAGAGAGAGAGAGAGAGAGAGACGCACAAAAGGTCTAAGGGGAAACCCGGTCCTAACGTTGTCATGTAAATCGGTCTTAAGGTCGGGATGCGAAAGGAATTTCTATCCTAATGTTAGCATTGAAAAGTGGACCTATGGTTGAGGTTAAGATGGGACTAACATAATGTTATCATGCATGGATTAACTCCTAATGTCTATCTTACTCCAAGCTTAATCAAAAATTAAGTTGGACTAGGAGGCCCTAATGGAGCATGCAAGAACAAACTAAAACAAGGAAAACAAACCAAAAACAGCGGCTACGACAACGTTCCAACTTCAGAACAGCCATAAAAACCCAACAATTAAGCGCAATAGAATTTAACAGCTCATGTTTCAGCACATAACAGGTGTAAAAAGCAGCAGGCAGAAAAGACACACAATTAACAGCATGCTAAAAATCAGAACAACAGGTGTAAAAACTCAGGCAGCATGTGTACATTAACACTCCAACAAATGCATATGACATGGTGAAGATCATCATGAGAATGTATTCAAAATTAAGCATAAACAAGTTCGATGCACAACTAATCACATCAAGAACATCATACATAACCAATACCAATTAATTGTTTCGAAAGAGCATGTGTTTGTAGGATCGGAAACAAACATAAACATGTGACATACTTCCAGCAAGATAAGAATTAATAACCAGTAGTTGACATGGTACAAATGATTATGCAACATGGTCATCTCATCAAGAACGCAACACAATAATCAAAAGACATGCATCATTGAAAATCGCACATCATGTGTCGAAGAATCACAAACATGCTATCATGAATGATGAAACAGCTCAACAACAGTCCACAAATATGCATCACATCAATCCATGAAGTTTAAGGATGAAAAGGAATCCAAATAAGCATGAAAATGCAAGAAAAAGTCATTCTGCAACAGTGTTAATTGGTTAACCTCCTGGTGCTAATCGGTTAACACTGTGAAAACTAGCCAAAAAACACGCAGCAAGCAGTGTTAATCGGTTAACACCAGGAGGTTAACCGATTAACACTGAGACAGAATAAAAAATTGAGAAAAAATATGTTTACACTAGGTTTAACATATACACCGTATTAATATACATAACATATACTGGTTTTATTTTTTTAATTAATTTATCTAACTTTGATTTCTGTGCCACAACACTTTGCTTTATTATTATTTACGGTGTTGATACGGTGTATGAAAAAAACAATGTGAGAATAACACAGCTCTAAAAAATTTAGCAATTAAAAGCACTTTTCAGCAGCAACTCAATTATCCAACCATCCAAATGAAAAAGCAATCGATTGTGCACGGAAATTATGTCAAATTATAGTACTCAAACATCTATTGGATTCAACAAACACCAAAATCAATAATCAAAACAGGCAATTGATCAAATATCACCAAAAAGCCAAGGATCTACATTGTGAAATGCAAGATTAAGCAAAATCAGAGTTAGATCTAGAATTTACCAACCTACAAAGCTGAGATTTGCTTAGGTGAGTGTTGTTAAGCTGCAATTAACAGATCCAAGCAAGAAATCCAAGGATCTATGAAACTCTAGCAAGAAAACTTGAAGATCTAATCAATAATCAACAAATAAGCAAAATCTCTTCAAGAAGTGATTTCACCAACTTAATTCAAGATTCAAATGAGTTACAAAACCATAACTGAACCAAGGATGAAGTTGCAATGGAGGTTTAGCTCAAGAATTTACAAATTGCAATGTACAATTTGTGAAGCTTTTGACTATGGAGCTTTTGTGAGGATTTTAGAATGAAAGAAAAGTTGAGAGAATTGAAGTGAGATGTAGAAAAATTAGAAAATGAGTGAAAGTTCTGAGAGGTTTGGAGTGAATTAATTTAAGTTCTGAGAGGTTTGGAGTGAATTGATTTAAGTATGACTTAGGTTTGGAATTAAATGTGGTTTGGAGTATGGTTAGTGTTAGGAATGAAAATTAGGAGCGGAATTAGGAATGGAAAATGTTTGAAAATTGGAGGGAATTTGAATTAATTAGAAAATAAGTCAAATTAGGAACCACTTCTAGATCCTTCTACTGGTGTGAAATGAAATTAAATGATTGAAATTGGAAGCCACATGCTGCAGCGTTGAAAAAAAGAACAATCTGGGCAAATTTTGCATTGGTTAATCGGTTAACCAAATTTGCCTAGTAAATGGTTAATCGGTTAACGCCTTCAAAAATTTAAATTTTGGCGCCTTAAAGAGGGAAACTTAGAGAATTACCTATTGCCACTTGTTCTAAGCATAGTTTGACCTCTGAAACTTGTCTTTTGATATTGCACATGTATAAGGCCTGAAATACACTACGAACTATCTCCTGCCCTCAAAATAACCTATTGAAAAATACAATCTGGTACCCGATTGCTGAGCAAAATAAATGTTGAAGCCTCTGATGCTTGCTTCCTAAAAACTTGCAATAAAAGAAAGCCCTTGAGCGATAAAAACAAACTTTATCCCATGCCTCAAGAACCAATGTCACGATATGATTAATGATTATGCAAAATGAACGAAACATAAGCTAGTTACGGTTAAAAACAAAAAGACAAATTTTGGGGTGTTATAGGTGGCACTGGTGAATCCTGATGCCTGCGGGAGGATAGGGGGAAGTGACACTTCAGATGGTGAATCCCGTCTCTTACGGGAAGAAGAAGAAGGTGAAGTGGCCTGGGGTGAAGCACAATCCCTAGAAGTCGACGTCTCTGCCTGACCAGAGGTACCTACTGCCTCCGCTCCCGTCGAACGAATGTGTGTTGGGCAACCTTGCCATGTCTCAGTTTGTAGACTCTGTCATCCATTATGCCTATAAGGTAAAATTAGGCATATCATTAGTTAACACAAAAGAAGAACACAAAATTATTAAAAATAAATAAATAGATTGCAGGAAAATTTTGGAGATATAACTAAGAAAAAAAGCTTTTAAAATATTCCGGAGATATAACTACGAAAAAACCTTTTAAAATATTTCGGAGATGTATCTCTGAAAATTCCCAAAGTATATGAAACATAGAACAATTCTAGAGATGTATCTCCAGAAAGTTCTGAGATACAGAGGTCACGATAATAGTGTCCTCTACTACATGCATTGTGAAAAATAAACATCTGATCGTCCATTTGAGCCAACAAACAACACATACACTAACTCTAAACTATGTTACATATGGTCTCTACATATTTCTACCCCTAACAATTGATTCCTACTCGTTTATACTAAAACTCGAATATTTACCAAAAACTCAAAAAATATACCAGACATTTATGATTTGGATAATGTTGAATGATGAAATGGATGATGCTCGTTGTTTCCTTGAGCCTCCTATTGATGAAAACTGATTTGATGAAGTTGGAGAATATTGAGAATGAGAAGAGTTGAAAAGTTGAAAAGTTGTGTTTTAAGGAAAATGAAAAGTGTGGGAGGAGAAGAGTCTGACGCAATATTAACTTTCAAATTGTTTTGGAGATACATCTCCGAAATATTTCAGCGTTTACATAAGTTTTGGTACGTCCGAAGATATATCTTCAAAATCAAATAAAATTTTTAAAATTTCAGATAGTGTGATAAAAATACATAGGATAGAAAAAGAAATCCTCTAAAAAAAATTCCCATTATACACTATGGACTATGTGCATGACCCTTAAATTTGGCTTTGATAAACATCAGAAAAAGCCCACAGCCCATTGTTCCAAACAAAACAACATACTGTATCTATGAGATAAAATTGTGTCCCCAAAACACCCTTGGATTTTGGAAGTCACTCCGTTTTCCGTTCCTCTTTTACCTGTAACACACAGACAACTAACCAAACCAGGTACCTCTGTCTGAATCATCATTTCCAACAATTAATGTTAATCAACTTCAACTCAACCATGTAAGTTCTAACCACCACCCTATACTACCACTCTTCAATAAGGTACACAAATTTTATTTTAGAATTCCAACAATTCAATTCAAGTGCTATTAATTGTTTTCACAATGTATGATTTGGGTTGAATCTCAAAACAACTAAAGATTACATCTTTCACAAAACCAAACACCATCACTTTAAACAAATGTATTGGGTTCTTCTGAATCTTCTGCTCTTTCTTCTTCTTGTTGTTGTTCTTCTGATTACAAGAAACAATTAGAATGACCCCTTTAATTATCTTCATCATAGTAATTTTAGCTATTGTGTTTTTCATCTCTGGTGTCCTCCAACTGTTTATTAGATTTCTCATACGGAAAAGATCTTCTTCAAGAACTTCACAAACCAATAATAATAGCTACCCTCAAATATCTGAACCTGATCCTTATCAGAGACAGTTGCAGCAACTCTTCAATCTTCATGATTCGGGTTTAGATCAAGCTTTCATTGATGCTCTACCGGTTTTTCTTTACAAAGAGATAATAGGTTTGAAAGAGGTGTTTGATTGTGCTGTTTGTCTTTGTCAATTCACGGAACAAGACATGTTGAGATTGTTGCCTCTTTGTAATCATGCTTTTCATATTGATTGCATAGATACATGGCTTCTTTCTAATTCAACTTGTCCTCTTTGTAGAGGAAGTCTTTATGAACATGGGTTTGCTTTTGAAAATCCGGTTTATGATGAATTTGAGAGTCTAGGTGAAGAGAATATGGTTTCTGGTAATGTTGTTGGTGAGGGTAACTCTGTTAACAAACATGCAGAAAATCATATAGTGAGTGGGAAAAGGGTTTTTTCTGTTAGGCTTGGAAAATTTAGAAGCTCAAATAATGGAGAAAGGGGTGTGGAAAGAAGTGAAGGAGAGTGTAGTAGTGAAAGTGTTGTTGGTGATGTTAGGAGATGCTTTTCAATGGGTTCTTACCAATATGTAGTTGCTGATTCAGATTTGGTAGTGGCTTTGTGCCCAAAGAGAGGTGAAGGAAGAGGAAATAGTGCTAGTATGAGACAATTGAAAGGAGGGCTTGCTCAAAATGGGAATTCTTCCATTGATGTGGATGTTGTTGAAGGGAAAAAGATAAATGTTGCTAGGAAAGGTGAAAGCTTTTCTATTTCAAAGATTTGGTTATGGTCTAGGAAGGATAAGGTATCAAGTTCATCACAATCCCATTTGGTTAATCCTAATGTCACTTCAACTTTGCCATGGATGAATAGAGCACTCAAGGAAGCAACTTAGTGTTTATGTGTTTTAGACAACTTTCAAATTTTCAATGAGTTCATTCTTTGAACTTCTTTTTCCCCCTTCATACTACTGTAATTTTCCTCTTTTATTGGTTATATTATACTTGTAAATTATGTCATATACATCTAATTAAGCTATATCTTTTGAATGAGAATTGTTCTTGAGTGTGTGAATGTTGTATTTTTTATTGGATAAATAAATATTAGTATATATTAGTTGTTAAGTTAGTATTTTATACTTCATCAAAGTTTGAACTCGGATCTTTTAACTCCTTCGACTCCGGTCACGGCACCTTAAACAGGTTGAGTTATCCAACCTCCATTCCTACAAAGATTGTCAAAACCAATCAGATGTTTCGCTCTTATGATGTTCTTGGAAATTCTAGTTGAAGGAGGTTATGAGGTAAATGAAAACAAGAGTGAGAAGGTGGACCCTTGATTCCACTATGATGTAATGTTTTATTTGTTTTACAAAAGTGATATTTTTTAAGCAATTACTTTCAATGAGTAAGAAGATTAAAGTGAAGTCAAAATTGGGAGTTGCTTTTTTGATGCTTTGGTTTTCCTTCGAGGCTTGCTTGCTTTAATTAAACCCATGAGTTCAAAAGAAAATAAAGAAAAAACAAAAAGGTGGGTCCTTGATGCCACAATGATGTAATGTTTTATTTGTGTGACAAGTGACATTTTTTTAGCAATTGCATTGAGTAAGAGATTAAAGTGAAGTCAAACTAGGAGTTTCATTTTTGGATGCTTTGGTTTTCTCTAGAGATTTGCTTTAATTAAATCCATGAGTTCAAGCGAAATTAAAGAAAAACAAAAGGATTCTACTCCTTTTATTTCTTTTTATTCAAAATTTCCATTTTGGTGTTAATTTAGCATTTGCTTAGCAAGATGATAAGATTGGTTAAAAATGAGATGGAGATTTTTCCAAGTCAAACTAGGGTGGATGTTGTAATGTATTTTAGGTGGGTTGTTTTATCGTATTCGCAGGGATTCTCTTGATATGGGATGTTTGATGTTCAATAGTTTATGTGTTTCAAGAAAAGGGTTTTTAAAGAGTTTTGATTTGGTAACATATGCTTTCATTTGTTTTGGTGGCAAAGAGTAAATTATAGAAAGATGTTTGTTTTAAGAAATGCATCTCAAGGTTAGATTTCGTTAACCCATTTCATACATATCCGATTAATCAAGAATGTGAACTTGGTTTAAATCAATATAATCGCGTATCCACTCAATTCTGTTTATTTTTAAAGTGGCTTCGTGGGTATTATTGTTTCAATCGCTAGATGATTTTTCGAAACAACAAACATAAAGATCGATACAAAGGAATATTAACTCCTAAATCTATGTCTAGAGTTTGTTTGTTAATAGATAAAGAACTTAGATCAAGATTTGAAAAATTTATACCTAGAGTGATTCAAACCATACAAATATAATTAAAAGCAAAGATCTTTATCATATACTGATCATCAACTTTGCTCACATACAAAAGATCAAAAGAAATACATACTAATAAGGTTAACTACCTCTAATCTTGACACAAAAGGTGTTTAGCTAGCCATCACCATGGTAGCTTGATCAACAAGTACAAAGAAAAGCTTGATTAGCATCAAAGTCGAAAGATCGAAGATTGATGCTTCAAAGTTTTGATTTTTACTCCTCTTGGAATTTCTAAGCTTCAAACCCTAAAAATCTCCTTACAATTTTGAAAAATGTATAAAAGTGTGAAGTCTCCCAAAATATCTTCCAAGTGCCCATTAATACAAATTCAAAAAGGGGCATATAAGTGGCAACGCGCTAAACGCCATCAGAGCGCGCTTAGTGCGATCTGTACAAAGGCGACAAAAATAAATAAACTGCGCTAAGCACGGCCAGAGTGCGCTAAGAGGGGTTAGCCTTCATTAGCTACCGCCTCTTGTCCAAAAGCGCATTGAACCCGCGCTAGAAAATGCGATAAGCACGAGTTGTCGTCAATTTTCTGAAAACTTTCACTTCAAAACTTCCTTTCATCATCAAATGCACCAAGCATCACATCAAGCACGAAACCTATCAAAAAGCATCAAAATAATCACGATCCAAGATATTTACATGCATAATTGAAAACTTGTGTATTTAAACTAAAACATATGGATTTACTACTAAAATACCAAAGAAACAATTGGAAAGGGCAACAAAATACTATAAAAAATATGCACAATTTGGCCCTTAACAACTCTCCCCAACTTATCATTTTGTTTGTCCTCAAACAAAAGTTTTCCAAACATAATCGAACCCAAAGTAATTCACAAGAAATCAGAATCAACAAGTTAGAACAATGACAATTTCATGGTTCAAAAAGTAGAAGTACAAACAAGATAGACTTACCACACTTAAAACCAATCATGAAGATGAAACTATTGTTAAGTGCAAAACACAAATCAAAACTTCTAAAGCAATACAATTCCAACATGAATCACACCTAAGCGAACATTCATCAAGTGATGAAAACATTATGAGGTTTTATCACTCACCGAACAATCCTGCAAACATCCGGGACAAATTATGCCTTCAAAAAATAACATGCATTAATGAGTGTAAAAGAAGGAAACACAAGGTGTCCAAAGGTTGTAATTTTGTTTGGGCTACAAGGAAGGATCATTTATCAAAGTCATTAAAACAAAAATGCCTAATCCTATGAGAGCATTCAATTCTCACATTCATACACAATTCAATACCTTACCTCTCTTGGTTTCTTTTCTTTGATGCATCATTGCAACCTTGAGCTCATTTGTTGGAAACTCATAGCCCAACTTCCTTTCTTTTTCAAACTTCACTTTTAATTGTTTCTTTTTCAAGCTCTTTCATTATCTACAACCACTTTATTTTTCACAATACATCAATCTACTTTTTTCTTCCCAACTTTGAATGCAATCAAAATATGGTGTTAATAATGCTCTCACACATCTAAGGCAAGGAACAACAAAAGCAACCATACTTAAAGGTTAAAGTTCAAAGGTTTCACAAAAATCAAGATCCATTCCAAAATTCAGTTATCCACATGAATCTTAATAGAAAGGCTCAATGGGGCTAACAAATGCTCACACACTCACAAGGTAGATTTATCATTCTATTTGTTCAAGTGGTATTTCTCACTACAAACAAAAATTTGCCTTGATCCTTTTCTTCCTTTCACACAAATCAACACACATACATTATTTAAACATAACAAGAACGAGTTAAACAAGGATGTCGGTTTCCCACATATATTATACAATGGAAGCTTCTTCACAAAGGCTATATTCTAAGTGATTCACAATTGAACAAGTATTTCTAAAGAATTCATGGCATCATGTTTTGCACAAATCACAAGTTTCATATTCATGCTAAGTTTAGAAAGCGATAAATATGTACCTTGCAACTATACCTCTACTCAAGCATATCATTACCAATCAATTGCATGTTGATTCATCAACATTGACATTAATCACAAGGTTCCTTCAAGTTTTTTTAAACTTAGGAACAACACAAAATAAAATAAAAATCTACTAAACTAAACAATTGTGTACTACTCATCATAATAAAACATACTTATCATAAAAAAAATTTGCAACACCCAAAACATGGTGTAACATTATAAGCTCCCAAACCTCATCCTAAAAAGAATGGTACAACATTTATCCAAAAGGACAAAGAAAACATAAAACAACCAAATCTTAACAACTCAAACATAAAACATAATAATAGAAACAAAAAAAATCAGATCAAACCCATCATCAGACTATTCCTTACTACTCGAAGAATCCAACTCCCACTTTGTCTTTCTAGTGTCATCATCATCATCATCATCAACAACAACAACAACTACAAGATCATCCTGACCGTCCTCATCCTGAGTTATGCCATGAGGTACTGTGTCTGCTGCTGCGGAGGTTACGGCGGAACCCGCTCCCCAGAAAAATGAAAAGGCTTGTCCTTAGGCATATCCACAAAAGCACTAAACTCCTATGAAGAAGGGAAATGATTATCTACATGTGGCTCTCAAATATGCAAATGTAAAGCACGCATAGATGAATGTAAAAAATTGAAAGCTCTTTGATGAGCCATGTGCATGTTCCAAGTATAAATGCATGCCACACGCTCATCATAATCCTGACTAGCTGGAGGAACACCTTACTACTTATGCGGTAGCACTGGCTGTTTTGGTGATGTGGTGCTTGTTGTGCATCAATTTTGGGCATGCAGTGGCTTTGAATCCAAGTATCATTCACGAAACCTTTAATGGTCTTGTGAACCATGTCAGGTATTGAGACACCCGCCTGAGTGCAAAGGCCCATATTCAAACCTGGAAAGACTAAGATAAAAGGAACCTTGGTACCCAAACGGTGATCACTAGAAGCAGTAGCTCAGATCTCAGCAAAGATGATCCTCGCTACATCAATCTGCCACTCATCCAAGATGTAGTAAAACATGCATGCAATATCCAGAGGAATATAAGAAGTGTGACTCCTAAGCCTTATATTGTGAAGGAATAATGTCATCAAGATCTATGCAGGGGTGTTTATGTCACCTCTCTTCAGATGCTTCGGCCTACATGCGACATTTAGCTCGAAACCCCTACCAGGATGCACCAAGGCATCATTCACATTAGCAAAGTTCCAGTTCTTTCTTGATACCCTCTTATAGTAAGCACACTACTCACCCTCAGCCAAAACCAACGGGTTTCCCAAATAAGCATTGATGGCATCCCTTGAAAAAGACACATGCTTACCCCGCACAAATGTCATGAAAGAGTATATTTGACCCTCCACCGAAATATCATTCGCGTAGAATTCAAGAATGATCTCATAATTCAGCCGGGTGGGTGGAGTAAGCAAGGTTTCCTAGCCATGATTCTCAATTATGTTGAGGCAGCCTATGTAGTTACCCTGAGGGTTTATCCTAAAAATCATTTCTGCCCAAATACTCATGCGAGTAAGCTCAAGGTAACGAGCCTCTTGTTCAGCTTCAAGGAATTTA